TACAGGAACTCTGTATGTTCAACTACTGCACATGTTGTACTGCTGGTTTCTAAGTTGGGTACTGGCATAATGTTTGACTTCACATGAACATGGCCCTGCATGGTCCTGGGCTTTGACGATAGTGCACACATGCGAAAAAGTACCCCTACAAGCAAGATGTGGTAGGTTCCATCCACAACTTGGCACAGTCAACAGGATACACTGCCCCATGCCCACATATGTATGTGTGTATATGATAAATGTATGTATATGTATATTTATACGCATGTGTGTAGATTTGTCTGTACGCTACTGTTAGTCTTGACCCCTAATCACGTATGATGCTATTTTATGGCTCGTTCACAATGGGGACAAGGATTGACATTCCTCTGAAAAGCGATCCATGCTCAGATAATTTTCTCAGAGGCATTTGACAGGTTGTGAGGAGGTGATATGTTGCCTCCTCACTGTCTGTTTTAACTCCAAAATGCAGTACCACCATGCCGCAACCACATGCAGTACCCATGGGGCTGCTGGGCTGTTGCAGCGCTGCTCCATTCACCTGAATTAGTTGCGTTCAGCAGATAATGCCTGCTGAATGTGACAGGGGTTAAAATTCCTGCCACGGCTGCAACATGTGTGCAACGCCAGCCGCTGCCCCTGCCGCTAAAATAAAAGCAGTAGAGGGGCGGTAAAACTGTGGCTCAACTATCTCTCAACCTCATGTGTGAATGAGCTCTTAGACTAGGGTGCCTTGAGACTGAAAATACTTTTAAAGGGTGCCATAACTGAAAAAAAATCGAGGAACGCTGTACTAGAAAACCATAATTACATTACTGTATATATATACAATGTGAAGTGAGGGGCTCCCAGAAACAAATCATCAAAGCAAAGAATATATGAAATCATCAACCACCAATGCAAGTATACGGTTGCAAGAAAAAGTATGTGAACCCCTTGGGATTCCGTGGAGTTTTGCATGAATTGGGCATAAAATGTGCTCTGAACGTCATCTAAGTCACAACAATAGAAGAACACAGTCTGCTGAACATAATACTACACAAACATTAGATGTTGACATGGTTTATTTGCACATAACATGTAAACATTCACAGTGCAGGGAGGAAAAAGTATGTGAACCTTTGGACTTAATAACTGGTTGACCCTCCTTTGGCAGCAATAACCTCAACCAAACGTTTCCTGTAGTTGCAGATCAGACCTGCACAACGATCTGGAGTCATTTTGGACCACTCCTCTTCACAAAACTGTTTCAGTGTAGCAATATTCTTGGGATGTCTGGTGTGAATCGCCCTCTTAAGGTCATGCCACAGCATTTCAATGGGGTTGAGGTCAGGACTCTGACTGGGCCACTCCAGAAGGCGTATTCTGTGCTGTTGCAGCCATTGTTTTGTTGAATTACTTGTATGCTTTGGGTCATTGTCCTGTTGCATCACCCATCCTCTGCGGAGCTTCAGTTGGCGGACAGATGGTCGTACGTTTTCCTGCAAAATGTCTTGATAAACTCTGGAATTCATTTTCCCATCAATGACAACAATCCGTCCAGGCCCTGAGGCAGCAAAGCAGCCCCAAACCATGATGCTCCCTCCGCCATGTTTCACAGTGGGGATGAGGTTTTGATGTGCTGTGCCTTTTTTTCTCCACACATAGTGTTGTGTGTTCTTCCCAAACAACTCAATCTTGGTTTCATCTGTCCACAGTATATTTTGCCAGTAGTGCTGTGGAACATCCAGGTGCTCTTTTGCAAACTTCAAACGTGCTGCAATATTCGTTTTGGACAGCAATGGCTTCCTCCGTGGTGTCCTCCCATGTACTCCATTCTTGTTTAATGTTTTCCTTATTGTAGATGTGTCAACAAAAATGTTAGCATGTGCCAGAGATTTCTGTAGGTCTTTAGCTGACACTCTGGGATTCTTCTTTACCTCATGCAGCATTTTGCGCTGTGCTCTTGCAGTCATTTTTACAGGACGACCACGCCTAGGGAGAGTAGCAACAGTGCTAAACTTTCTCCATTTGTAGACAGTCTGTCTTACCGTGGACACATGAACATCAAGGCTTTTGGAGATACTTTTGTAACCCTTTCCAGCTTCATGCAAGTCAACAATTCTTGATCATAGGTCTTCTGAGAGCTCTTTTCTGCGAGGCATGGTTCACAGCAGACAGTGCTTCTTGAAACCAGTAAACCCAAAACAGGTGTGTGTTTTTTAAGGGCAGGACAGGTGTCAGCAACACATCCAATATCATCACACTGATTGGAGTCAAGGTTGGCTCACTCTTGGCTCCAATTAGCTCTGGGAGACATGAAAAGAAGGGAAAAGAAACATAGTGTCTTATCCGGGATTTCAGCTGTTTAATGTGCTTTGATTTCTCACTCACATTGTGAAAGATAAAGTAGCGCTTTACATAAAATGTATCCAAATCGTGTTTTGGTCAGCTTTATAGGTGTGTCTGCCTTCAGTGTGCATACTCGCCGTTCCTCTGTGGATGCGTGATGACGTCACCGCCCCTCCCTACGCGTTACGCTACAGGGACTCGTAGCTTCCTCTGGGGGATGTAGTTTCTTTTCATGTCTCATATATGGAGGATTAAATCAAGCAGCCAGCGGAGGAAGATTCACTGAGAAGGCTGAGCTGAGGTGAAAGAGGTTCACGCAGTGGACACAGATCCTTAATACAGCCCAGTCAGAATAATACCATCTCTATCCACTTAAAGGAGAACTATCATTCCCACTTTATTTTTTATTTATATTTTTTTGTTTTTGTTTTTGCACATTAATAGAAATGAAATTTTATATTTACATTAATTAAGTATTATTGATTGATGAAATTGTTTGGTAATTTGTGACAAACACAGGTATTTAATATATTACAAGAGGTAGAACCTATTAGAGCGCGGTACAATATTGGATATATCTATCACTTAGTAACTAGTAATATGCCAGGAAATCCTCAATTATAAAATACCATGGCCAGATTTTAAGGAAAAGGCAGCAATGAAATTTCAAATATGCAATATGGTCAGGCTCCACAACAGGAGACATCCAACTTGATACCAATTGTGTAAAAGTATACATCAACAATCACATCTTCTAGTTCCCCCCACTTATTTTATCCCAGAAATGTCTGGATTATTGGCAACTTGGGCCCTGCATGTCTTTTATCCTGAGTGTACTTTTATGTCCCTAAGGTACACTATGGAGATTTAACTATGTAGATTAATTTGTTCCTAATGTGTAGGCAAATGAAGTTTGATGATGCAATTAGTCCTTTAGCTAAGTATGTTAAAAGTACTAATGCTATTTTAGCTTCTCCATTCTCATTGGCACTATTTTCTAATACCTGTTGTTTTGCTTTTTCCAGAATTTTAACAGGAACGTTTAGTTTATTTAAATTTCCTCTCCATTTCACCTTTTCCCAATGTTTGATGTACACACCCAATACTAATACATTCCAATGGTCTTTTCAATATAGCACATTTAATATTTTTTGGTGGAAACCTTATTAACTCACAGTCAAGTTCTTGTCATTTGTCATTTGTTTTAACATATAAATCTGTGCAAACATTATTTTCTTTCAGAAATGTCAATGTGTAAAGAAAGCTGTGGGTATTTGTTGTCATATATATCATCGAGCTGATCTGTAGATATCTTACAGTAAGATGCCTAACAAATTCTATTAGTGTTTAATGTGGTAACAAACAATTGTTATTAAGATAATGCAATCAAGAAAAAGCAAAGTTGAAACATAAGTTGTGTGGATATTAAAAACATTCCTCACAGGCCTCCTTGAAATTATCAGCATAGGGCAGCCTAGGGTTCTTAACCTCTTTGCTTCGGCGGCTCCCGGCCCTTTAAAAGTTTCAGAAGCCAGGAGGCGGGGCAGAGTTTTAGGGTCATGTGACTACCGTGATTCGCCGTCACGGTGGTCACATGATCGGAAAAGGTCCCGATTGAAAGGGGAGATCGGGACCTTTCCGGGAATCATAGACATATGTGCTGGGAGCGTGCAGGGAGCGTGCTCTCAGCACATATGTATTTTATAATTGCACACAAATATGCGGCCGCTCAACTTCAAGGCCCAGACGCCGAGAAGCCACATATTTGCGTGCGTTCGGCGTCAAGGGGTTAATGTAGGGAGTGTACCTTTAAGAATTATTGAGTTAATACACTTTTAATGATTACAGATGATTATGTAATAAGTCCTGTGAACGAAATATCAACTTATAATGTGTAGAGCTGCCCCTAAAGCTCTCAATCAAACTAAAACACACCTGTGTAATAAATCGTCAGCAAATCATCTCGTGCAACAACACAAGCATGTGAACAAAACATAATGTGCAAAAACCAAACAAATAAAAATTATCTTAGCCCACACCATCAGAGATAATAATTTTATCAATAATGTGAAACAAATAGAGAGTGATATTGAAAAGTGCAAATAAATAATGAAAATGAAATAACAAAGAGTCCTTGCAAGTCCATGTATTGTTGATAATCAATTCATGCAGTGCAATCCATATAAATACTTCATAATTCTCATGTGCACCGAATACTTCCAAAGCAGCCCCTGTGCTGTGAATATCTATAGCTGTGTAACCACCAGATTGTGGTCTTGGGTGGCCTCTGACCTTAAGGGAAGACTACGCAGGTCTAGTAGCGCTTTGCACAGATCTCTTCAATGCTCCTGAACCACCTGTTGCTCTTGCTCACCTCTCCGGTCAGTAGGATCTGAATGCTCAAATCATAGGATGCCCACCATAGTGTAGTATGATTAAAATAAGTATTTATTAAAACATTCAATTAATGCACTTACATTCAGCCAGTGATAACTAGGCAGAGCATATGACAAGCCCGCAGATATTCCCTACACCAGCATCCGACATCAGATACTGTCACTCACCTAATCCTTCCTTTTCTTATGCTTTTCTTACGCCCCATGTGGCTTCATCAGAGGATATATATATATAGATATATATATATATATACATACACACACACACATTGTGGCATGCAGACTGCTTCTACAATCATTTGTGAAAGAATGAGTCGCTCTCAAAAGCTTAGTGAATTCAAGTGTGGTACCATGATAGGTTGCCACCTGTGCAATAAGTCCATCCGTGACATTTTCTTGCTACTAAATATTCCACGGTCAACTGTTAATGGTATTACAACAAAGTGGAAACAACTGGAAACAACAGCAACTCAGCCATGAAGTGTTAGGCCACATAAAATGACAAAGTGGGGTCAGCGCATGCTAAAGTGCACAGAAGTCGCCAAGTGTCTGCAGAGTCAATAGTTAAAGACCTCCAAACTTCGCGTAGCCTTCAGATTAGCACAACAGTGCATAGAGAGCTTCATGGAATGGGTTTCCATGGTCGAGCAGCTGCATCCAAGCCTTACATCACAAAGTGCAATGCAAAACGTCAGATGCAGTGGTGTAAAACACACCACCACTGGATTCTAGAGCAGTGGAGACGTGTTTTTCTGGAGTGAAGAACTATGCTTCTCTGTCTGGAAATCTGATGAACATGTCTGGGTTTGGCAGTTGCCAGGAGAAGGGTACTTGCCTGACTGCATCATGGCAAGTGTAAAGTTTGGTGGAGGGGGATTATGGTATGGGGTTGTTTTACAGGGGTTGGACTTGGCCCCTTAGTTCCAGTGAAGGGAACTTTTAAGGTGTCAGCATGCCAAGACATTTTGGACAATTTATGCTCCCAGCTTTGTGGGAACAGTTTGGGGATGGCTCCTTCCTGTTCCAACATGACTGCACTCCAGTGCACAAAGCAAGGTCCATAGATGAGTGAGTTTGGGGTGGAGGAACTTGACTGGCCTGCACAGAGTCCTGACCTCAACCTGATAGAACACCTTTGGGATGAATTAGAGCAGAGACTGCAAGCCAGGCCTTCTCGTCCAACATCAGTGCCTGACCTCACAAATGCGCTTGTGGAAGAATGGTCAAACCTTCCCATAGACACACTACTAAACCTTGTGGACAGCCTTCCCAGAAGAGTTGAAGCTGTTATAGCTGCAAAGGATGGGACAACTCACTATTGAACCCTACAGACTAAGGCTAGCCATACATTATACAATTATCTTCCAATTTTCTGCCCAATTTCCTTTAGATTTATCTTCAACTGTGTAGTGCAAGGGCCTGCCTAATTGGATACAACTGAAAGTGTTGTTTAGGTTTGTCCTCCTATTATATGGTTTTTGGTAAATCTAAACCAAAAATCTCCAGATAATTGTATAATGTATGGCCAGCCTTAGACTGGAATGCCATTAAAGTTCATGTGTGTGCAAAGGCAGCGTCCCAATACTTTTGGCAATACAGTGTATATGCAATGTCCTCTACCAATCGCTGCCTTCTGAGTATATTACTGGCCATCTGCTTTATATCTGTAGATCTTTGTTGCCTATAGATAGATATTATTCATATATAAAAACATGTTTGATGTCCTTAGGTGCTGCACATGATTTTTACTCAAATAATAATTTACTAATAGCATAATATTTATGTTTACTTATAGATATACATAAATCTCCTTGTGCTTCCTAGTGAATCAAGCACATCCTGGCAGATAAGATGCAGGAGAATTATGGTTTGCTGATTCGGGTCATCCACAGTGGATAGCACAATTTATTAATCCCAGCACAGGGATATGCATGGGTCAAAAACAGAAGTAAACGGAAGCTTTAACTGGAATTTAGAAGGTAATTCTTTGTTAGACAGTGAAAGGGTTACATGTATGTGTCATAAAAAAATTATACAAAAGAGAAAATATTCCATTACAAATATTCCCAGCTGTGCCTCCAATTTACGTTTGAAAATCCACAGCTAGATAATGCAGTATAAACATCACTTATCCAAAGAAATAAATCCCTAAGAACTCATAGGGTTGTGTTCATGTGGATGTTTTTGTGCCTGTTAGTACACATTCACTATTCTCAGTCCCTCTGTAATTACATTAGTAATTTACTTGTAAAGTGATGTGCGTGATGGGGGCTGAGCTGGCTTAGGTGATGCTCAGCAGCCTAGCACACAACTCTTTTAACTGAGCAATTGAATAAATTAGTCACATCACAACATCACTGAGAAAATATTATGCCTTTGTTAAGGAAACAAGGTCATCATTATCACCAATGCATAAAAGTATATACTGAAAAAGATTGTAAAGCACATACTGTAATGGGTTCTGACAGAAAAGAGCGTGGACAGAATATGTTTTCTGATCTTTTTTAATAATTCATTTGCCAGAGACAAAATTAAATCACTTTTGCAAAAAGGATAACTGACAAGATTTCCGACGGAACTGTTTCCCTGTATAAAGGTTGTTGCTTTACTGGGAGTTGTGCTAATAGGTTTTTTTTTCTGTCCTAGGATAATGACATCACAGCTATGTTATTGTGCTGAACGCAAAATACCACACTTCAGAGAAAAGTCACTGATAGTCCATGGCAACTAAATTTCCATGGATCTAGGGTACTACTAAAGCCACATGCCCCTTTTTAATAGTATACATTATCTGATCACCCACAGAAACTGCACTAACTTACTCATTAATATACTGAATGCTGCATTAACCTGCTTATGCATTAAAGCTGTAGCCCAGCTAAGGACATTTAATTAATTACATATGCAAAAAAAAAAGCATGACCATGCTCTGAAACAAGGCTTTCCTAACACAAAGAGATGTTGGCTCTTAGGAATAAATTCATGTGCACCTTAAAGCCAGAGCAACCTTCATTAAGTCTAGGTTCACACCTATGCAGGTTTTGTTTGAGGCATTTCTGCATTGTGTTTTGCATTGCATTTTTGCACTTGCATTTTGATGCGTTTTGCTTTTATTCTTGTTGCTAGGCAGATTTAAAATGCAAAATGTACAAAAAATGCATCAAAAACATGGCAAAAACGCAATGCATGCGTTTCTGCAGCGATCCCATTGAAGTCTATAGAACCAAAAGCGCAATGTTTTGTGGTTAAAAAAGTCCCTGACCCTTTCCGAAAAATGTACCGGGTGAAAATGCAGAGATGTGAATCTGTCCCATAGGAAATCATGTTAAATGGACTTTACTGTGCTTCTGCAAAACGCGGTAGAAAATGCTTAGGTGCAGGGGAGGACTGACCATTCGAGCACTCAGGCACTGCCCAAGGGCCCAGGGTCAGTAGGGGGCCCCATGAAATGCCCCTGGTACCTTTTTTATAGGATTTTTTGAGTGTGGGCAAGGACACAGGGGCCCCATGATCCCCTCTTGTCTGGGGGCCCCATGAGTTGTCAGTCCGCCCCTGCTTAGGTGTGAACCTACGGTAAAGTAATTCTCTCAGGCTCTCTGCTGTATTAGAGATTTAGGGACAAGCCTGATGTCCAAAGAAAAAAAAGTCTGAAAAAGAAAATAATGCCAACAACTGTGTGGCATGAACATCTACCTATGGGGGTATCATTTTGGAAGTCTGTCAGTTAGCTAAACGGTTGATTGCTGAGCCAAAAGAATAAAAATTAGATTAAAATCTGACCATATGTGGTCAAATTTAGAAATGCCCCCTTGCAAGCACCAATCTGTATCTGCACATGCTACTATGGGTATTTGGGAAACAGTCCACACACATAGGGGTTAATTTACTAAAACTGGAGAGTACAAAATCCGGTGCAGCTGTGCATTGTAACCAATCAACCTCTAACATCAGCTAGTTCAATTAAGCTTTGGCAAAAAAAAAAAAACCCTGGAAGCTAATTAGTTTTTATGGAGAGCTGCACCAGATTTTTCACTCTCCAGTTGTAGTAAATCAACCCCATATTGTTATTGCAAGTTAATTAACTCCTACACAATCTCGTTCCTAGATCAAATATAATTCTTTAGATTTTTACCAGCAAGAAGCAGCACAAGATAAGCAGAAGACCTTATCTAAAGTTGTCCCTAGACGGCACTTCCTAAGACAAATTTCATAGGAAAGGCCCTTAGCTTATGGGAACAACTTTGAAAGCCACATGGAAGAACAACATTGACTTACCTCTGGTTCACTTATCCGCGTTTTGTATGGACACGAGAGCCCATTCATTTGAATGGACTCCCGTGCCCCGGGACACACAGGGAAGAAGTCCCTGCACTTCTTTGAAAACCGCAGCCCACACGGGAACCTCGGTTCCCAGTGCGGTTTTGATTTCCAGTGCAGGCGACGTGCCATTAGAAGTAATGGCACCCGCACGCGGATCCACATTTTTCTGTGTGGGTGGTGCGGCTGCACGGTTTCTTGTGTGGATCTGCAGCGGCACCACCCGCACATAAGTGAACCAAGCCTTAAAACTACTACCCTGAATAAATGTCTTCAATACTTTACATGGCAGGATGGCTGCAGCTGTTAATAAGTTAATTGTTTTTCCCCTTCTCACATTAAAGAAGGTTATTTGACAGCGTGGCAGCCTTTCATGCTGATGGCTCACTAAAACATGCAGACCAGATTGAATATTTATGCAGTTTGAAAACTAAAAGTAACATTACGCTACTGTTTTGTTTATTACCGTGAGAGCTTTGGTTTGTTAGATACCTAGCTACTAAAGGATAGTCGGTTATATGTTTTTGGACCATATACAAAAGTGAGGCGATGCAATTCAAGTTTATGTACAAACCTACAAACCAAAACATCTATATAGCATCATTTTCTTTCTAAATATATGTTTATGATGATTAAAATATTAAAAGATTAAAAGATGCTGGACTTTTTAATTACCAGCAACTAAAAGTGTCCATGAAATACAAAGGAAGAAAAAAGTTATACTACATTTAGTCTTTTATATATACTTTATCTTATCGCTCTCACCCTCACTTCTCTGACACACATGCATTACAAACACATATAAACTCAGTAAAGCCTGTAAGGGTTCCATACAAGAATTGGCCCCAGTTTTTCATCATACTGAAATGTCTCTCTTCCATGATAGTTACTAACAGAGGTTCTGTTACCTTATTGAAGGGTGTTATTATCCAATCCAATGAAGGGGGTCTCTTTCACTCTAACCCTGGGTTCACATATATGTGGTGCGGTACATTGTATGTGATTTGCACAGGAACCGCACCGCATTCCTGTGCAAATCACATGCGATTTATGTGCGGTGCGATTGGAGCCCTACATTTTGTATGGCTCTAATCGCACCATACCTGCACCAAAAAGGTGCAGGACCCTTTTTTTGGTCTGCAGTAGAATCGGATCATAGGGGTATTCACACCTATGTGATCCAATTCTGCAGATTTCACCGCGTTTTGCGTACTTATTTCGGGGTGTTGTTAACTTAACATACACACCCGCAGCGGTTCGTATGAACGGGGTGCTGTCACGATCGCCACCCTCAACATGCGACAATCGCACGACCGCAACCAACAATAATACGTGACGCCGTGGTGTCAGACCAGACCTTCTCACCAAACTTGGGATCAAAGGACCGGCCAATCTAAAACCGCGATGTGACGTGCGTAACAATGCCACACTCAGCTGCGCCCTGCACAACGATTGTCCAGCTAATGGAACGCAATCGACACACCGGCAGCCTGAATGCGCTTGTTACTGGGTCAGGTTAATTACAAAACTAACCCTTCACTG